CCCCCCCCTACCCCCCCCAAACCCCGGAGTTTGCCAGGCCAATGGGCCAATGGGAATCTGGGCCTGGCACGGAGTGGGGGTGGGGGGCATTGTTGCCCGTCAGCGTGGATTGTTCCACCAGCCCTGGGCTCTCTAGGTCTCCCACCTTCTTCATTAGTTAGTTCTTGAGTTTGACATCCTCCGGGAAGGGAGGCAGGATGAACAAGCAGCTCCTCTCCTGGGCTGGAGCGCCCCCGCCCCCCTTCCTCCCCGCTGGCTCTCACACCTCGAGACTAACCACCGCCAGCCAGCGCTGTGCTACTTTTAACCCAACGTGGCAAAGGCGGGATGGGTGACTGCTCCTGATCTCCGCCCTCCTACCCCAGTCTCCTAGGGTCGGCCCAGGTGACTGGCTGCACCCTAAGCCCCCACTGCTGCTGGGTGTCCAAACGACACGCTTCACTGGCAGCCCACACTTGCCCCCCAGGGGGAGATGGCATTTAGGCTGAGCAGGCTCTACAGGTCTGGACCGCGCTCTCTTCCTTGCTTTCTTCTGGTTTTGGCTCTTATTTTGAGCCTTATTTTGAGACAGATTCTTACCAAAATATCCATACTTACTCCTGTGTTCTTCCCACCCTTTAAAAATGTTACAAATGATGTATGATTGTACTAGAAAAACTAGAAAATGCAGATAGGCAAAAAGAAAAAACTGTAAGAAGTGAACTCAAATCTTATAAAATAGAGCAGCGATTTTCAACTCGTGGGCCACAAGAATTTTTAAAACATGCAATTCCTGACTATTTAGTCAAGGACACTGACCTCTTTTCCCTTAGATTGTCAACTTAAAAAGTGACAACAGCCAGCACAACAATAGCTGTTGGGTGTGAATGAATCAAAATTATACCTACTTTTTTTTGTCAGATCGGCCAAAAAATATATTTTTTAGTGTGCTGCAGAATTTTAGTAATTAGTTTATGTGCATCATGAAATGGAAAAGATTGAAAAATCACTGACCTAGGGAACCACTTGTTAACTTTTGGATTCCCGTCCTTCCAGAATTTTTTTCATAAAAAAACACATTCAAATATCCTATATAATAAAAGGCTAATATGCAAATCGACCAAATGGCAGAAGGACCAGTGGTTATGATGCACATTGACCATCAGGGGGCAGACGCTCAACACAGGAGCTGCCCCCTGGTGCTCAGTGCACTCCCGCAGGGGGAGCACCGCTCAGCCAGAAGCCCTGAGCTGGCTCACGTGCAGCGGAGGTGGTGGGAGCCTCTTCTGCCTCCAGGGCAGTGCTAAGGATGTCCTACTGACATCCCGCAAGGGCTCCTGGACTGCAAGAGGGCGCAGGCCAGGCTGAGGGACCCCCCCCCCAACACCCCCGCACCAGTGCATGAATTTCGTGCACCAGGCCTCTAGTATATTATAAAAATGGCAGGATGCACAGGATAGGGTTCTGTAACCTACTTTTCTTACTCAGAAAAACAGTCTGTAAATGGCTTCTCAGGCCAATAAATAAAACCTGGTTCTCTTTGTGTAGCACCTAGTATCCTAATCATAACTGGCAGTTTCTAGGTGACTTTTTTGGGCTGACATTGATCTTATGGATTCTCTTATTGCTTCCTGCCCCTCCCCTCATTCCGGAAGGCATTGGTTTGGCATCTGTGGTCATCGAGTCCTATTTGAACATCTACTACATCATCATTCTCGCCTGGGCCCTCTTCTATCTGTTCAGCTCCTTCACCTCTGAGCTGCCCTGGACAACCTGTACCAATACCTGGAACACAGGTAGCTATCGTTTCAACTCCTGGGATGTGGTCTCTCCCTAGGGGCTGGGCTTGTGGTGGCTGGATTGTGTCAGAGGTTGGTGGGCTGGAACAAGAGCAGAGTGAGGCACATGGGGTAGGGGGCTGAGCCCATGAACCACCTGAGCAGCCAATTCCTGACACTCTGGAGGTGGGGGTTTCAAAGAAAGCTCTTGGGATCTGGAATGTTGGCGACCACCAGGCCGTAAGACCAGAGGGTCAGAGGTACTAGGGTGTGAGGGCATCTCTTCCTATCTCATCCCTAGCTAATGCACTCCTCACCTTTTCCCCAACAGAGCACTGCATGGACTTTCTGAACCACTCAGGAGCCAACACAGTGACATCCTCTGAGAACTTCACCTCACCTGTCATAGAATTTTGGGAGTAGGTGGTGGGCCTGGTTGCCACGGGCCAAGGGGCCTCAAGCAGAGGAAATTTGGATGTCTAAGGCCTGGGGTGCAAGTTTAAGGCTCTCTGTGCATGTTTTCCAGCACTTACTCCCACCCCACACATCACTGAGAGATGAGGGGATGCTCATATCTACTCACGGTTGTTCACCTACGCCTCCCAAATCCACCTATGTTCACCCAGACTCACACATTTATCCACCCTATACCCTCACATCCCCTGTACGCTACACACCCACCAAGACTTGCACATCTACCCACACATGTCCACTAGTTTCCTGGAAACAGTCTGGACCCACTTAGGAGAGCCGATTGTACACATCCCTTCCCAACTCCATGTTCAGTCACATTGGCCAACGTGGGAGTATTTACACCACAGAAATTGGCAGACCCTACACTCACACATTCACCTTCCCACATGACCCCTTATACCCTCACACCTACCTGTGCCCACACTCTCACACATTTCCATCACTCCCGTACACATCTTTAGGCACTATTATACACTCGACCCCTCCACTTGATACCCATATACTTGCTCATCAACCTGCACGTATAAATATTTACTCTCCACATACTCATTTATACATTCCTTACCTCACCGTTCCCTCTCTCTCTCTCTTTCTCTCTCTCTCCAACAGAGAGATCTGAATGAGTTAGAAAGACAAAGATACCTATGGTATTACGTGATTTGGTCTTCTAACAGCCAGGGGCATACAGACAACAGGTGGGAACATGGCAGGGCCATGGGAAGGTGGAGTGGGTGGGGGCAGGGGAAGCCTGGAATATGAGATCTGTGGGGTCAGCTCTAAGAATCAGGAGACTTGATGACAGAGGCAAGTTGTCCCCTTTAGCCTTTCACCTGTTTGTTTATTTTTCCACTCATTAGGAGACGTGTTCTGGGCATCACTGCAGGCATCCACGACCTGGGAGCCCTGCGTTGGGAACTGGCCCTGTGCCTCCTGCTTGCCTGGATCATCTGCTACTTCTGCATCTGGAAGGGGGTCAAGACCACAGGCAAGGTGAGGTGCTCTGGTTCCTGGTAAGCTCTCTGTGTCCCCAGAGCCCCCAGGGACACTCACAGCATCCCTCTGGAGAACTGAAAGAAAGCATAGTCTAAGGGAGAGGCCCGGTGAGAACATGGGAAATCGTAGGAAGGCAGAGTTTAGTTCATTACAAGGAAAGGCTTCCTTTTTCAATATGATTTTAAAAGGCCTCTTTACGTAAGTAATATACAGAGCAAAATCAGAAACGGCCCACTGTCAGAGCTAAGCGTTGTACAAGCCATCAGCGCGATGGCAGGTTGGATCTACTAATCCCTTCTGTTAACCTTTTGCTGTGTCGCCTTCTAGTTTCCTTTATACGCGTGTATGTGTGTAGCTGTATCTAGTACGTGTGTATATCACACAGTTAGGATCGGACACTCTTTTTAAAATCCTCACCTGAGGATATGTTTTATTGATTTTAGAGAGAGAATAAGAGGAGAGAGAAACATCGATTGGTTGCCTCTGTATACATTCCGACTGGGGATCGAACCCACAACTGGAGTATGTGCCCTGACCAGGAATCGAATTCACAGCCTTTTGAGGCATGGGAAGATGCTCTAACCAACTGAGCCGGGCTGGATCAGACACTCCTATGACTTGCTTTCTGTATTTAACAGCAAACACATCAAGACAATGTTTAGCTTGAGCTCGCACACAGACCTGTCTTTGAGGTGGTGAGTTTCCAATCACTGAAGGGTTATAGCCAAGAATGGACCACAGTACCTGTTGCACTGAGGCAGTTCAGCTTTGAGCGTTATTTCCAACCCAGAGAGTCAGAGACAGATGCTTCGTGCTCTTTAAAGCCAGGAACAGACAGGCCCCGACTTCTTTGACTAACCTGCTCCTGCAGCACCACCCCCCATTCCATGGATTGTTGAAATAATAATAAAACAGTGATAGTAATGACAACATAGTAATAGTAATAATACTAACAAGGACTCTGCCACTACCTGGTAAGGCCTGAGCTTGGCCAAGGGCAGCGTGGATTCCTCCCTGAGTGTCTCCAGGATACCTGGAGCTCAGGCCACTGCTCTTCCCAGTCTTCAGCCTGGAAAATGCAGTCTCCGTGTCCTCACAGGTCACTGTACAAACTGCCTGCCCACCCCACCCCCTCCCCGTGAAGGGAGGCCACCCTCCCCAGGGGACATGCGGAGAACAGCCAGAATAAGGGGTTAAGGGAGACCAGATTCTGGATTTAAAAATAGTCTTTGAAATGTTACGGCTGGAAACTTGTACCCCTCCCTGCCCTTCCTCCTCGCCCTTGCCCTGTTGATGTGTATCTCACACTCTGCTGGGGGCCCAACACCCGCAGGAATGTGGAATGAGAGGTGCAGAAAGTGTGTGTGTCCATCCCTCTAGATGTCTCTCAGGTGTTGGACACTGAGCTAGGTGTGGTAGGAAGACCACTCCAGGTCCCTGACACCTCCTGGCTGCTGTGGCGGCACCAGAAGTGACTTTGACCTGCTTTCCTCCAAGGTTGTTTATTTCACAGCCACGTTTCCCTACCTGATGCTGATCATCCTTTTGATTCGAGGCATCACGCTCCCCGGAGCCTATGAGGGCATCATCTATTACCTGAAGCCAGATTTGTCTCGCCTGAAGGACCCCCAGGTAGGAACTGTGCTGGGGATCATTTCCCCAAAAGTCTCTCATTCCAAACCAGATCTGTACTTTTGAAAATCTTCGATTGCTTTCCTCCTGTTTTAAAGGCAGTCAATGTCCACTGGAGAAACATAACATGAAAAGGAACTAAAACCCACCACTCAGCTACAATCTCTGTTAGCATTTTGATTTTTTAAAAAATTCTCACCTGAGGATATTTTTTTCATTGCTTTTCAGAGAGAGTGGAAGAGAGTGAGTGAGTGAGGGAGGGAAGGCAAGAGAGAGAGAGAGGGGAGAGAGAAACGCTGATGTGAGAGACATACATCAATTGGTTGCCTCCCACATGTGCTCTGACCGGGAATCAAACCCACCCCTTTGGTGCTGGGCTGACGCTCTAACCACTTAGGAACACTGGCCAGGGCTTCTGTTAGCGTTTTAGTATATTTCCTTCCATCATTTTTTCATAGCTGGATGGTGTGTGTGTGTGTGTGTGTGTGTGTGTGTGTGTGTGTGTGAGAGAGAGAGAGAGAGAGAGAGGAGAGAGATATAACATAGTTGAGATAATTATATATAGAGATATATATCTTTTTTCACTTATATTTAAGCAGTTTTCATGTTATTAAGTTCATTTGTAAATGCCATTTTTAACACTTGCATAATAGTTCCTCCGTCCATCTATCCATCCATCCATCCATCCATTCACCCATCATGCACTGAGGTCCCAGGAAGTGCTGGGAGCGCTGTAGCGCTGGTGAGGGTGGGCTCCATGCCTCTGAGTGTCACACCTGGGGCCGGTATTGTCTTTTACTCACCTCTTCCCCTGTTTGGGGACATATAGGTCATGTATTTTTTTACTATTGTATGTACGGCTGCAATGAACACCTGTGCATAAATCTCTGACCACATCTCTGATCATCATTTCCTGACCGTAGTTAGACGTGAAAATACTAAGTCAAAGAGTGTGCGCATTTACAGGTTCCTGAACTGTCCCAGCTGCAGAGATGCCGACTTCAACGGCCAGCGTTTCCGCAGGGCCCGCGAGAGGTCAATTATGATTTATTTTAATTGTTGATAATTTGATAGGTCAAAATAACATCATATTGTTGGTTTATTTAAAAATTTTTATGACTGCAAGGTTGGGCATTTCCCCACATATTTATCAACCATTTGTATTTCCTGCTCTAGGACTTGTCTGAGCACATCTTTGTCTCCACTCCCTCCACCCCCAAGATGCTTGGGGTTTCTTCTCTATTTCAACGCCTTGGCCCCTCTGCCCAGCGTGGCTGCCTAAGGCACACCCTGCTTGTTGAATTGAGCAAATGCCTCTTGTCTCCCCTGCAGAGGGTCTCACCTTCTCTGGGGCATTGCCATGGGTGACAGACTCCACCTAAGCATTTCAAGTAACGCACTCTTATTTGGTGCTTACCTAGTGCCCGCAGAACCAAGTCACAGATGGGCCCTGCCTGTGAGAGGAGGGTGTGCTCACGAAGAGTTGGGATTAAGGGACTCTGGGAACACGGAGCAGGCCTGCGGGCTCCCTCCGCTCTCCCTCAGCACTTTCTTGGGGTCTCCTGTAGGTGTGGATGGACGCGGGCACCCAGATCTTCTTCTCCTTTGCCATCTGTCAGGGGTGCCTGACAGCCTTGGGCAGCTACAACAAGTACCACAACAACTGCTACAGGTAGGGACACGGGTGAGGGGCCCTGGGGGACCATGCCTGCCCGCGTCTGAGGAGGGCGGGTCCTGCAGTGGGCCCAGACCTTCCTTCTTTATTATCGGGAGCAACAGGTTGTGTGAAATTGCCATTCTGGGTTCGTTTCCCAGACCGAATTTCTCTCTTCCTCCCTTTTCTGTCTCCCTTCCCTCTCCTCGCCTTCTGAAACCCCTTGTTTGTCCTTTTCTTCCTCTGTTTTTCTTCCCGTTCACTCTTCCTTTTCTTACACTCTTACTGTCTTCTGATCTCTCCTCAAATAATGAATTTCATTCTCCCTTTTTCTTTGTTTTATCTGCATTTGCCCACCTGCAGGGACTGCATTGCCCTCTGCTTCCTGAACAGTGCCACCAGCTTTGTGGCTGGGTTTGTGGTCTTCTCCATCCTGGGCTTCATGTCCCAAGAGCAGGCGGTGCCCATCTCTGAAGTGGCCGAGTCTGGTAGGTGTGACATTGCTGTCTGGGACTTGAGGGGAAGGAGGGTCAGAACACAGATCCTCCTACAGGAAAGCAGGGTCCTATGAGGCTTTTAGCATTGAGGGTGGTGCTTGGCACATAGCAGGGCCTCCATAACCCCGGGAGGGAGGGAGACGGGATGGGTGGATGGACCCACAGTTGCATGCATGGATGGAGAAATGGGTGGATGGAGGGACAGCATGCTCCCCAGAACCTGGGAAGAGCAGAATAATGAATGGAATCACCCTGCTCTCTTGAACCATCCCCTATTATACACACACACACACACACACACACACACACAAACACACACTCACATTCACATGCACACACACACTCATGCACACACACATACTCACATGCACACACACACTCATGCACACACACGTACTCACATGCACACACACACTCATGCACACACACGTACTCACATGCACATACACACTCATGCACACACACATACTCACATGCACACACACACTCATGCACACACACGTACTCACATGCACATACATAGTGCCTCTGGAGAGGGCCCTTCCCTGAGGGAAGTGAGAGCCCTAGGCTCACCTGATTGTGTTGTGTCCTGGCAGGTCCTGGTCTGGCCTTCATCGCATTCCCTAAGGCTGTGACTATGATGCCCTTATCCCAGCTGTGGTCCTGCCTTTTCTTCATCATGCTCATCTTCCTAGGGCTGGACAGCCAGGTTTGTCACCCAGCCCAGCCCAGCCCAGCCCTGCCCCGCTCTGCCCAGCCCAGCCCAGCCCTGCTCTGCCCAGCCCTGCCCAGGCAGCCCAGCACAGCTGCCCAGTCCTGCCCAGCCGAGCCCTGCCAGCCCTGCCCTGCCCAGCCCAGCCCAGCCCAGCCCTGCTCTGCGTAGTCCTGCCAGTGCTGCCCTGCCCAGCCCTGCCCAGCTGAGCCCTGCCAGCCCTGCCCTGCCCAGTCCTGCTCTGCCTAGCCCTGCCAGTGCTGCCCTGGTGACTGTCTTTTCAGCTTCTGCATTTCCTTGCATTACCTTCCCTCTAACTCCCTTTCCCCTGACCATACATTTGAAGGCCCTTTCCGCTGTCCAGGGCTTGTCCTTGGGGTTAGTTGGGTGACCCCAGACCTCGAGACCCTCTTTGATAAGGGGGCCACTGTTTTGTTCCCCCTCACGTGACCCTTCCCCATGTTTGGATGCACCCTCCCAAATGTCCCTCCTGCCTCCTTCCAGATACTTGGCTCAAGCTGCCCATCCTGCCCCATAGCTTTGGGGACAGAACACATACCCACTCTCCAAGTGTCACTGCTGGGACCTTCTGTTGTGGATATGTGGCCAAGGGCAGAGATGGCCTCACCCCTGACCACCACCCATTTCTGCCCTTTGTACCCTCCCTTGCATGCCTGTGCATCAGCAGGGGGAGTTGGGTGAGAGGAGGCCGGGGCAAGGCGGTGCTGGGAAGGCCTAAGGGCAGGGGCCCCTCTCACTCAGCTTCCCTCCTGGCCTGCAGTTTGTCTGTGTGGAGTGCCTGGTGACAGCCTCCGTGGACATGTTCCCCAGGCAGCTCCGGAGGAGCGGGCGGCGAGAGCTCCTCATCCTTGCCATTTCTATCCTGTGCTACCTGATAGGGCTCCTCCTGGTCACCGAGGTGAGTGGGGCGGGGCGGCGCCTGCGGCTGAGCTCCAGGGTGAGGGAGCCATGGGGACACCGCTGACCCTTCTCAGAGCCACACTTTTCTCATCTGCTGATCAGGGGTGTTGACACCTCACAGTGAGATTGTAGGGACCACACAGTAGAACCCATCTCTGTTTGTGAGCTGTGTTTTGGTTTTAGAAACCAAACACAAGCTGGCTTAAACAGAAAGGGGAGTTTGGGGGTCAAGTAGAAATATTTTGTTTTCTGTATGGTTGGACCCAGCTGCTCTAATGACATGGTCAGAAGTGTCCCTCTCTGTCTCCCAGTTCCCTTTCCTCTGGTGACTTCGTTCTTAGCCAGATGGCCCTCCTGGTAGTAAAGAAGGTAACTTCTGCCACCCAACCACCCCACAGGAGAGAGCACCCTTTTCCTGAGAGCGTGGCCAGCGCCCAGCCATGACTCTCCTTCAGGCCTGGGGCAGGGAGGGGAATGCTGGGCAAACACTGTATGTCCACTACAGTCCCAGCGTCCTTGCAGATGTGAGAATTGTTGCCCTGATGTTAAGTGAGGGCAGGAGGCAGGGAGAGGTAGAGCAAACTCCTTCTGGAGGCAAGGAGTAACTTCCCATGGGCGGGGAGGAAGCCACGGACAGAGGCTTGCCCTGTTGCTGTGTGGTGGAGCGTGGTCCCTGCCCCCACTGGCCAAGTTCTCAGCTCCCCGCTCCTCTCCACAGGGCGGGATGTACGTCTTCCAGTTGTTTGATTATTACGCTTCCAGCGGCATATGCCTGCTTTTCCTCGCAATGTCGGAAGTAATCTGCATCAGCTGGGTCTATGGTAAGTGGGTTGGGAGGAGCCTCTGGAACCCAGCTAAGGGTGGGACTTGCCCGGATGAGGGACAGGGTGTGCTAGCCTCTGATTTCTGTGTTTTTGTATTGCTGTCCTGGTTCTTTTCACGTGGTTAGTGTATCCATCGCTGGGAATCCAGGCATTTTGCATTATGCAGGAAGAATGGGGATAATGACAACACCAAGTTCCTTGAGGGGTGAGGGCCGTTATAAATATCAGTGGACAGTTTGGTTTTTCTTTGCTACAGAGGCTGCCAGAGATCCTTCCCCAGTGGGAGTTGTAGTTAAAAGAGGCCTTTGGGCCATTTCTTCTGATCCTGTGCAGATCCCATAGTCCCTTTCGAAGTTATCGCCCAGATTTTGCTTGAATTCTTCCATGAACAGGAAAGCCATTCCTTTTCCCTTTTGGCTGTTAGGCATTTCTTTCTTACATGAAGGTGAACTGTGCCTTCCATTGACTTTTTCCCACAGCCCTAGCCCCTCGGCTGCGGGATAACTAACCCACGGTGCTGAGTGCTGTCATACCCACGCTGTTATTGTGCCTCATGACAACAGGGGAGAAACCCTTAGCTTCTGAGCCAGTGCACTGCTATGTGAAAGCACTTGCTACCTCCCAACCTGTACAACAACCCTTTACCGGGGAAGGTGAGGCTCAGAGAGTTGTGGCTCTTTCCTGAGCTCACACAGCTATTAAATGGAGGAGCCATCATCATACCCCAGGTCTGTCTGGCTCCACTGCACCAGGTTGGGGGGACACATTGCCAAAGTCACAAAGCTCAGGGCAGAGAGGGTAAGGGGTGCCATGTACTGGGGCCTTGTAACCAGCTATGAGGAGGAAAGCTTTCATTTTGCTACCCTCGGCCTTCCTATGTGGTGTCCTTTCCGCTCCTTGGAGATGTCCTCTCCCTTCTCATTCAAGCACCCGATGTCTTCCCGATTGTGCCTTCCTCCTTTTAAAAACTTGTTCTCAGAGAGGGTCTGATGAACTCAACCACAGTGAGGTGTACATGGCTGATGAGTCTTAATATGTTAAACCTACTCAAGAGTATTTGGTTTCTAACTGGGGAGAAATTTACAAGCCAAAGGAATGACTCTTTAATGGTGGCATTTCCTGCCTTAGTGACCAGAGGGAAAACCTTTTTTTGGTGAGGGGCGGCTAGAGGGGTCTTCTAAGTGTCTTTACCAATCAGGGGCTCTTCACTTCTTAGAAGATAGAGCAAATGTGAAAACCTGAGGACATTAAACAAAACCAAACATCAGTGTTTTCATGTGCACTAGTCAACCCTCTCCCCATGCGTGACAGAATGCAGGGGATTCCTCTGGAGTCTAGAATTAAGCTTCCCAGTAGTGATCTTCCCCTTCCCTCTCCATCCTCTTATCTCTCCCCTCTGCTCCCTTCCCCTTCCCTTTCCTCCCCCTCCCCTTTCCTTCCCTTCCCTCCCCTTTCCTCTCCTCCCTGTCCCTTCCCTCCCCTCCCTTCCTGTAGAGATCTGGTTCTATCAGAGCAGAAAGGATCTGCTTGAGCAGTGGCACACTTGCTGTTTTGTGTTTTGACTTGAAACCGAATTCATCTTTGCTATGCAGATAAATAAGCATCTGTATATATAGCACTGAGCCCCATTGTAGGCTCACACCCTCTTCTGTGGTTAGGACAGTGGAGTCTTCATCCAATGACAGGGGGACAGAGACTGCACCCAGAGTTTGGGTGACCCCAGGGCCCTGGCTTGTTGGTGGCAGCTCCTTCTCCCTCCCCAACTCCCAGCACTGTGTCTGGGGTGCCAGGGACCCATCTCATTCACAGGGTGGGGGGGGGGGAAGAGCTACCAAGTGAGTCCTTCCTAAACACCCATGAGCTGTCCTCACCTTTCTGTTCTCATTCTTCCCCCACTGTGTCTGGGCAGGGGCAGACCGTTTCTATGACAACATTGAGGACATGATTGGCTACCGGCCATGGCCCCTGGTAAAGATCTCCTGGCTCTTCCTGACCCCTGGACTTTGCCTGGTATGTGCCCACCCAGCTACCCCTTTATTCCCTCCTGCCTGCAGCAGACTCTGGGGGATGAGGAACAGGTTGCCTGAGTCCCTGCCTGTCCAGTGATCTTGGGAGACTGGTTCATTCCCTCTGATGTATTGGTTCCCTCGGCCCTTCTTGTCTGGGGCTATCTCTCCATATGTTTGCTTTACTGTCTTTATCATCTATTCCTAGTCCTTCTCCATCCCTTTCTCACAGGATCTCCAGCCATCTGCCTGATTTCCCAGTTATTGGTCTCTTTGTCTGCTTAGAGCTCCTCCGTCTCTTCTTTTCCTTTACATCTCCTCCTGTCTCAGTTTTTGATGTGAGTGATGCCTAGGCCCACGATTTGCAAATGGCTTTTACTTTCCCGCCTCATAGATGTAGCACAGTGTATCTAAATTGTCCTCTATCACTGTGTATTTAAGTAGAGAGGAGAGAATTTTATTGGCTCTATCTCATCTGTGTCTGACCACCCTGCCTTCTGCCCCACTCTTTCTAGGCCACTTTCTTCTTCTCCTTGAGCAAGTACACACCTCTCAAATACAACAACATCTATGTGTACCCTCCCTGGGGATACTCCATTGGCTGGTTCCTGGCTCTCTCCTCCATGGTCTGCGTCCCACTCTTCATCATCATTACCCTCCTGAAGACCCAGGGTACCTTCAAGAAGGTAGGGGGCTGAGGGAAGTGACGCATTCAAGAGGGCACTGAGAGAGGTGGGTCTTGGGCAGCACACTACAGCTGGAGCCCAGCTATGAGTGTGGGGCAGCCCTTCAGTCTAATAGAACCTTAAAGAGAAAGGTCTTTGAAGATCAGTCTAATAGTTTCATGTCCAGAAACATTAGAAAGTCCCAGAGTTGTAGACCTTTAGAACCTGACCTCTAAAAGATCATCTAGGCAGGTTAACCAATGGTCAACTGTCAAGGGTTAAGGGGAAACTAAGTCACAAAGGAGAACATAAATGGGCCCAGACACAGAGGCTTACAGAGCACAGATTTCTTGCTCCCAGGAAACTGATAACTGGGTATCATGGTTCATTCCATACAGTCTCCCGGCGTCTTTTCTTATCTTAACCTTGTGGGGAACATGTGCAAGAGGCTTCCTGTTTAGAGTTTGGAACATGCCTTCCTGGAAGAGTATATAGTCAGTGTCTCACAAAGACATTACACTATAGAAATCTATCTGGCCTACAAGTAGCAGAAAACTCAACCTGCAATAAGCAAATAGGTTTATTTTTTTTCTTACATATCAAGGAGATCAGAGACAGGGGTTGCTGGCATTTTGTTCAGCTGCTTAAAGAGGGCATTAGGGACCAGACTCATCCTATATTCCTGCACTGCCATCGTGAGCATGTTGTGTGTTCATTATAAGCTTATCACTCATCATTACAAGAAGGTTGTCATGACTACAGCCATTACATCAGCAATCAAGGCAAGAAGGGCGAGGGAGATGATACCAAAAATCCCAATAATGATAGTAATGCAGAATTACTACTAGTAAAAATAATAATAGATACTTATTGAGCATATAATAGTAAGAAAATTAGTAATAATAAGAATAAAAATAGATACTTATTGCTGCCTTACCCTGTGTCAGACACTGTTCTATGAGGTATGTACTCTTATAATCCTCATTTTATAGATGAGGCAGAGAGGGGTTAAATGGATTGCCCAAGATTGCACAAGTAACAGAGCCAGAAGTGGAACCTAATTCACACTCTTAATCACCATATTATTGCCTCTTCTCTCTTCTCAAAATATTTATTTATTTATTCACTCATATGGTACTGAGCTGCCCCCATGTTCCTGGCTCTGTGTTGGGCCTTGAATATACAGACAGGAGAAAGCATCTTTGCCTCTCGCACCAACAATACCCACTTATTCCCTCTTCTCTCCACAGCGCTTGCGACAGCTCATCACCCCTGACCCCAGCCTGCCACAGCCCAAGCAACACCTGTGTCTGGATGGTGGCACCAGCCAGGACTGTGGACCCTCCCCAGTGAAGGAGGGACTGATAGTTGGGGAGAAAGAGACCCACTTATAGGATGTGGCTGAAAGCCAGGGGGCTCCTGAGCCAGGAACCCGGGGTCAGGGCCACCCTCTCCCCGCAGTGGACAGCCTTTGCCTCTGTCCCACCACAGCCCTGTTGAGAATGCCTGCGATGTCTGGGGCACCCCCAGCGAAGGCAAGATTCCCTCCTCTCTCCTCTCAGCGGAAGCAGCTTCTCCTGGTGGGCTCAGGACGGTCCCACTGGAACATGCCACGCTGTGAAGCGACTCCCTGCTGGAACCCACTGTCTTATTTATAAAGGAGGGTGGTCTTTTTGGAGTTCACCATCTGATTATAGCACATTACATTGTGAGGGATCTCCCACTGCAGGGATGTTTCCTGTTAGAGTTTACTATATTTGTGCATTGGAAGATAGTGCCAGTTGGAATACACATCATGATCTGATCCAGAGAGCGCGAAGGAACACTGTGCTGGAAGTGGCACTGAACACACCATGTTGGACTCTGACATTCCCTTAGAGGGGGCCCCTCACTAGGCGTAGCATTCTGGAGTCCAGGGGGAGGGGACTAGAGAATCAGCCAGGAGGCAGATCTTCACAGGCCATCATTGCATCGATGTTTCCAGGAGGCAATCTCTCCCAGGGTTCCTAGTGCCAGTGCTAGTTCTACACTCTTCTTCAAATGTTGTCATCAACTCATGGAGCGTTCAAATGGAAGGGACTTACAGATGATGCCTGGACTGTGTCCTATGTCCATGACAGACATTGCTAATCGATTACCAATTCTTTCCCACCTCATAGTCCTTCCAAATATAGTGCTCCAGGCAGCTTCATTTGCCATCCTGCTTTTGTCCAAATCCCTGACTTCATGAATGAGGACCAATGAGACAAAGCGGCTTTTTCAAATTCACACAGTTCCTCAGCACCAGAGAGACGACTGGAACCTGGTCCTCTGTTTCTCGGCCAGTGTGCCCCCCGTTACCCGCTCCTGCGTTAATAACCAAGCATGTTGTATGGATCGCTTGCCCCGTGTGCTGCCTTCTTTACCTCACCCATGCCTGTTCAGTTACCCTGTCTTGGGGTAGGAGGGAGAGAGGTCGCTTCTGTGTAGGAGTGAGCAGCTCTCCCTAGAGTGGTGCCTTCACCATAGTATTTTCTCTGCCAGCCCCTACTCATCTGACTAGATTTCCTCTCTAGACCCCTCATTCTTGACACTTTCTGTCTCTCCTCCCACAGGGGCGGGCTTGGGGCCTGCAAGAGCCCTCAGGTCTCAAACAGAGAGGGAGGGGTGTGTGTGTGTGTGTGTGTGTGTGTGTGTGTGTGTGTGCTCCTTTCCCCTCCCTACCAGATCATGCAGGTCCTTCTCTGGCCGGAGTAGGCTTTGTGGAGGTGGAAGGCAGGACTTGTGTTCAGAAGGAAGCGAGGAGAAAGAGTGGAGGTCGCATAGGCCACTCAGGATAGTTTCCTGGGGCAGGACCTGAGAGCTGGAAGAAAGGAAGTCACCCAGGAGAATTATGTGGAGGTAGATGTCACCCAGAGCCAATGCCCAGTGGCTGGAGTAAAAATATGGTCTGGCCATGGTGAGTTCCATCTCCAACAGCCCCGGCCATCCTCAGATCACTCACCACCCTTTGCCCAGATAGGTAGGTGCTTCTCACTTGTAAGAACAAGTACGTTGTCACACTGGGCACGAGCAGATGTCCAGACTCCTGGGTTCTGGCAGTCTGCTTCTGCATTCCTCTAGACCGCTCCGTGCACCTGTGTTCACCTTTCTTGGACTAGTCAGTGGGTCAAGAAGTGGGTACAGGAGGAAGGGATGGAGAGAAAAGGCTTCAGTCAGATCACACTGATGAGACTGGGGAGCCTTAGTTGAGGCTGGCACAGTGCTCTCTGCTGCCTCTTGGTGGCCAATAGGAACAGTGCCGCTTCCCCAGGTTCCCCGCAGGGCCTCCTCAGCACCCTTCACAAACCAGAGGGAAGCGCCCTCACCCCGTCCTCAGGATGCATGGACAAGCTGAGCAGCTCTCCTTCCCTGTCAGCTTTCACCATCTGGAACCCAAACACTTCCCTCATCCTTCTCCCCATGGTCCTGGTGGGGCTCTCCTAGAGAGACAGCTTGCTTTGGGGCAGCCAGCTGCAGTGGACAGGCGGGCGGCCAGCCAGGCTTCTCAGCTACCTGCTGCCACCCACACCTCGGCTCTGTCAGCCTGGGGGACAGCATTTTCTGTTGTGGGCAGGTCTGCACAGTGGTGGGGCACAAGCTCTCCCCAGCTCACGGGGCCCTGAATGGTCTCTCTGACTCTGCAGACTGCTCACAGACACCATCATCCTCTCCCACCTTCCTCACCTCACATAAATACACCAGAACCCCTGGCTCTAAACTTACAGGCTATCTTAGAAGGTCTCTGTTCTGGCTCTGGGACTGCTGAGTCCAAAGGCTCTGGAGGGGTGGCTCAGGGCTGGAGGAAACAGGGCGTTGGGGAAAGGGACTTCCGGCCAACTTCATAGCTCATAGGAGCCCACTCACAGCATGGGCAAGGAGCAGCAATTAGGCCCTTTAAAGTACCCCGAGCACTGATACAGGTGTGTGTGTGTGTGTGTGTGTGTGTGTGTGTGTGTGAGTGTGTGTGTGTGCATGCACATATGTGCACAGAACAGGTATGGGGTTAGCTGGGCTTGCTTCCATCTCCTAGGCTGGGTTTCATACTAGGGGCCAGAGGCCTAATCTGGCAGCTATGATCTGTTTGGCCAGTATGATATTAAAATTTTTTTTTAAGTGTATGCTTTTAGGTACTCTCCAGTTTGCTGCAGACTCCACCGCTCCCAATTACCCAAACCTGAGCTTTTCACACATTTGAGTCTAAAGGCATTTGACTTCCTAACCTGTGCCCCAAGGGAAGGACTGAGACCTGTGGGCCAGGCAGGGAACCAGAACCCTTGCTTGAGGGGAGGGGAACCAAGGGCAGCGCTCTCAGGGTCCCAGTGCCTCAGAAGGGGGCAGTCCTGGGACAGCCAACACTCTGGCTTGTTCATCTGTGGGTCTCCCACTCGGTAACCCTTGAATCCTGGTCAGTTCTGCCCTTCCCACCAGGCTCTTCCCTTTCCCAAAGGTCTAGCTACTTTCAAAGCTAGACCTGAAGTCTAGACCAGTGGCCTCCCAACCCCATCAGTTCACCCAGATGTGCTTAGGAACACCCTCCCCCCAATTTCCCTTTATTTTAGGCAAAAGTATTTAACCTGACTGTGGTGCTCCTCCACATGGGAGGCTGAGACTGTCTCGCTTTTCTCGGCACCCGGCACCCAAGCTCCTCCTGGGAACCCCCCCTGCCACTCCCAGGCTGGGCTTCCTGTGGAGCTGACTTGCCAAGGCTGCTGGTCCTGGGGCTGCAGCCCCCAGCCACTCACCTTGGCTCTTCCCTCTGTTCCCCTTGGCCAGGCTGAACCTGGGTTTGGACTCTCCCCCTCTTGTCTCAACTGGGAGCCCCTTCTCCACCCAGCATGTGGGTTGCCTGTGTGGGAGCTGAGGAGTAAGCGAAGGTATGCTCTGTGCCCTCTCTACTCCCTTCCCCCAAGCCAGGAGAGCTCAGGGAGCTGAAGAGGGCCTTGAACTCCACTGAGATTGGAGCCCCAACCCCTGACGAATGGACTTCCCATGTGCGAGACTGCGGTCTGTGTGGATTAGGTTGGAAGGGCACCTGACCAGAGGAGATTGTTCCCTATCTAGCCGGCATCCCACTTTTACAGCTTCTCCCACCTGGTTCCATGCAGGGCCCCACCAAAGAGGGCCTGGCTCTGGTTTGGGGCCTCCAGGTATTGCTGGGCTCCACCTCCAGCTGACCTCCCAAACCACCCTCCAGGTCCAGACCACCTTGTGGGTCTCATGTCTGCTGCTCCCATGGAAAGGAAGCATCCACTGTGACCTATTTCATCCTAGAGCTGTCTGGGGATGCCAGTCTTGGTCCTCCCACCCTGTCAGAGAGAAAGAGAATGTAAGCCGCCTGGCCTGTCAGCCTTGTGAGCCCTTAGCTGCCGCGGTGAGGGGCAAGGTTACGGGAATAAGATTTGGGGCAGGAGAAAGGAACAGAATCATCTGGGAGTCACAGGGACATAGATTAGGAGGCCAGGAGGAGCGAGGTGTGGATTTGGGAGGAAGGAGCCAGACTGCGGTTTGTGGGGAAACATCATAATCAGAGGACTACGCTCAGCTCACCTGAGAGGCTAGCACCTCGCCCTGAAATAGCCAGGGCACGAAGGAGCTCCTGGATGAACCTTTCGGCCCACTCCTGCCTCCTTCTCCCCCAGGACCCCAGATCTTCTCCTCCTCTGTTCATGCCCTGACCCACAGCGCAGATGGAGGACGAGTGAGGGACATTTGCAGCTAGGTCCTAGAAGGCACTAAGGCTTCCATGATCTCGTGGGTCACTGCCTCTGGTGGCAGCCGATCGCCACGCCACGTGGACACTCAGTCAGCCCCATAGAGAGGCCCATGTGGAAGGAGCTGAGGCTTCCGGCCAAGAGCCATCACCAACTGGTCAGCCAGGCGAATGACCACTGTGGACGTGGATCCCCCAGCCCCTGTCAAGCCTTCAGATGACCGTAGGCCTGGCTGATGCTGACTGCAACCTTATGAAGGGCCCTGAGCCAGAAAATACCGCACGAGGTGGGCCCTGAATCACTGACCCACATGAAAGATAATCAATGTATATTGTGTAAGCCACGAGTTCTGGAGTAGTTTGTTCAGCAGTAGTAGATACCTAATATAGGTCCTTGGCTTCCCTAAGTACAAGAATCGCCCTTTTTGAGGGTGGGGTATGCCCCTCAGAGCACTGTCCCTCCACACTGCAGGAAGGGAGGCCTCGCTGGTGTTCGTCCTGTGTGAGCCCTTCGCCTTTCTCCCACATCCTTATCACTCTGACCCTCCATAGCCCTCCGGACCCTGGGCCTTGCCCTCTCCTCCCTGCCCTGAGGCAGGTGAGGACTGCCTGCCTCTCTCCCTGCTGCTCTAGGCCTCACACGCCCGCTCCCTGGTGACACAGCGCACTGGCTTCCCTGCGGGTGTAGCTGCTCAGGGAAGTAACAAGGGCTGATTGGACTTGTCAGGGGTGAAAGCTTGTTAACCACCCATCAATACAGAAGGTGGCGGGAGGACAGCAGAGGACGGTGGGGGCCAAGCCTGGCAGGTCAAATGAGGCTGAAGTGGGTTGGTGTCCTGGGTCCTGGCACCTTGCCTGCCAGCACGCTCTACTTCCAGTGTGACCACCAGCAGTCAGGTGGCTGCTCCTGGGGTCTGAGGAGTTGATGGGTTGACAGGGTGGGGAGGCGGGCACATCATTGCTAGGTGATGCAACAGACAGATAGAGGAAGGCTCTGACGGCCTGGGTTCCTCCACAGGGTCAGTGCCCAACCCCACGGCTGCAGCAAGAGTTCAGTCAATACTCCTGATGCAATTGCACTCCGAGGCTTTCTCTGCACACACCATGTCACCCACCCACGCAGGGCCACTGCAGTGTAGCCAAAGGGCCCGAGGCCGGAAGCCAAAGGGCCTGAGGCCGGAACTCCCGAGTGCCACGTCAGCAATGCTGTTACTAGCAGTGGACCGTCGCTCCAGGTGCCACTCATTCCCTGTCTCCACTCCGCAAGGGTCTGGGAAGGTGGCCGGCACCCTCCCTGGTCCAGTGGGTGCTTGGCAAGTGCAGTTGGAATCGGGGTCTGTTGCTGAGAGGAGGGTCCCGGAGGAGGCAGGGACAAGGCCAGAAGGGCACACCAGGCAGAGGAACAGCTCCTAGCCCGCTGCAGGCTTCTCTCTCCTCTGTATTAATTCTAACACTTTTACCTCTTGATTCTTTAGAGCTTTTTACATAGATAATCAGACTGTCGGAGTTAATTTCTCTGATCATCATTCCTTTCAGTTTTTTCTTGACTTCCTTCACTTGGTAACTAGAAGTGGTGGTAGGAGGCATCCTTGTCTCCTTCCTAATTTTGAAAGGAATTCTAACATTTAACTATTAGAATTATTACTAAGGGTAATAGTTGACGTAGATTTTTGAAAAATATCATTTATTAGGCTATGAAGTTTTCTTCTGTTCCAATGTTTCTGTTTTTGTTTTTTGTGTTTTTTTTTTTAAAAAGAATAAGTGTAAATCAGATGGTAACTAGACTACTGTGACGATCATTTCACAATATATACAAATATTGAATCATTATGTTGAATACCTGAAACTAATGGCATATGTCAATTATATCTCAGTTTTCAAAAGTGTTGACTTTTATTGATTGCTTTTTATGCATTTAATGAGAAGATCATATTGTTTTTCTCCTTTAATCTGTTAATGTGGTGAGCTGTATTAATAGGTTTTCTAATATTTAACTATCTTTTAATTCCTGGGACAAACCTAACTTGATTATGGTGCATCATTTTTTGCTTGCTAGTCATTCAATGCTAGATTCAGTTTCTTAACAATTTGTTTAGAATTTTGTATTTATGCTCCTTTCTCACACTGTCCTTGCCTGATTTAGTTTTTCTTATTAAGGTTACACTAAACCTATAAGGAGTCTGGAAATTTTCTTTCATTTTCTTTTCTCTGAAAGAGTTAATAAGGGATGGAAACTATCTGCTCTTTGACTGTACAGTAGAATTTTGTAAAATCATCTGGACTGGTATTGTGAGTTTTTTTTAGCGGGGAAGTGTGTGGGTAGATTTGTAACTACACATTTAAATGTCTTTAGGGGGTTTACATCTCAAATTTTCTATTTGTTCTTGAGTGAGTTTTGGTAAGATATTTTTCTAGGCTAGTGTTCATTCTGTGAAGGTTTTCAAACTTACTGTCATAGGTTTCTAGTTTATTTGCAGTATTCTATTTAAATTTACCTCTGCAATATAGGTAGCATGTCCCCCTGTTACTTATCTGTGCTGATTCTATTTTCATATTAGTCTTATCAGAGGCTTGTAAGTTTATTAGTCATTTCTTACTACTAGCTTTCGGTTTTGTTCATCTTTTCTATTGTATATGTATCTTCCATTTCATTATTTCTGCTTTCATCTTTGTTATTTCCTTCCTCCTACTTACTTTGGGATTATTCTGCTGTTCTTTTTGTATCTTCTTAAGTTAAATAGTCCCCTTAGCCATGAAAGGAAGCAGTAGGACTGACTGACCTGTCTGTTTCCAAGTCTGGCATTCAGGGATTCGGTGGCCCCGTGTGCTAGTGGAAAGGGCTCCCTTACGCCCTGCCTCTGCTCTCTGTGGAGGTAGGGAGGGAGGCTACTTCCTAGCCCGGATGTCTTGGAAGGAAAGGGGGGTGGGGTTCATGGCAGGGTAGGAGGCAGCAGTCTGTCCAGGGCAGCTGAGAGTATGGGAACAGGAGCCCGCTCTCCTGGTGGTCCCCTGCCTTCCCTGCAGCTGGTTCCCACAGTTTTTCCAGAGCCTGCCTTGAGGTTCGTTAGGGTCATGGGAGCAGGAAGCACTGAGGTGCTAGGGGCTGGTGAGTGGGGTTAGGGTGCCTGGTTCTCTAGGGAAAGAAGCCATCCAGACCTGCAGGGAGGAAAGAATTCCCATCCCTCCTCCCCATCTCCTGAGCCCAGTTCCCTCATCCTCTAGGCTCTTCCAGAATGGAATTTTCCCAGTAGGACCAGTTCTGGCTCAGAGCTGGGATCAACTACCTTTCTGGGAAGGGGTGGGAGCAGATAAGGACTCAGCCTGCGACTCCAGGCCACTGGGCTCTGTCTGGGCCTCACCTCAGTCCTGGAGGAAACACCTCCCCTGCCCCATGAAGGGTCTTTCCCAGACCCGCAGTGCCTGGGTGTGGCCTCTCTAGGCCATGCTTTGCCCCGGGATGGATAGCCCCTGAGTGACTTCTCCCTGGCATTCCCAATCTGCAGCTGTGACCGGCTGCCATCTGTACCTCAGGGGCTCTGTCTCTGGTCAGAGCAGAGGGAGCTGGTGGGAGGTGAATGGTGCAAGTGAGGTGAGCTAGAGCTGCCGGAGTGGTGAGTCCTAGAAGGAAGCAGCTCTGAGCATCCCTGGGGCAGAGCGTTGCTGAGCTAAGGAGCAGAGCAAAGCCCTTTCCACGAGCAATCTGAGAACAGTGGGCCGGGCCTGAGCAGCCCCTGCTGCCATTCCTCGCTTTCCTTTCCAGGCTCTCGGTCTCACAGCCCACAGCTTCCAAAACACTTGCCTTCAAGGTGGCTCAAGGAGGATGACAGGGTGACAGGGCCAGGTGGCAAGTTAATTTCATGCTGGGTGTCGATGTACATTGATTGATGGGGACTCCTGGAAAGCTTGATCCATTAGGCATGCTTGTGGAGGCTGGGGAGGGAAGGAGGGGTGCCAGGCCTGCTGCAGGGCAAGTCAGTCTTACTACAGCTTCATGTCGTTCCCGCTGAGCTGTGAAGGGCTGTCAACCCCAGAAACTCATGGGAACTAGGCTACGAATTCCACCCTGTTATTATTTTAAACTAGAGGCCTGGTGCACGAAATTCATGCACTCGGGGGGCAGGGGGTCCCCCAGCCTGGCCTGTGCCCTCTCACAGTGTGGGAGCCCCATGATTGATTGCCCAAAGAGGTAGGTCGGAGCTGCCGGGACCCGCCTCCGTGCCTCGCATGCAGCGTCAAGTCCCCACCTACCCACGTGCGCCCGCTGTGCACGCAGCCTCCTGGTGATGGATTATGACGGCATGAGGGCATCACGGTGTGATGGCGAGAGGTGTGATGACCATTTGCATATTAGCTCTTTATTATATAGGATAGCAAACCTGACCTGCTTGGATTGGGGTGATGGGAGGAGGTGGACAGAGGGCTTCCTGCAGGCCCACCAGGCCGTGGTGGTGCCTCCTGATCAGGAGCTGCCCTGACAGCTTGTCCTGACGGCTGGGGTTTGTACTCTGGGGTCTAGTTGGGGTCTGGCTCCTCCTGCTGCAGCCCAGCCTTTGATGTTACCTCACCCACCTGCCTTCTCCAGCGGCCAGCCTGCTGCTGTCAGCGCCTCCTTCCCCACTGATTGTGGTGACCCTTTGCCCTGGGTTTCCCAGAAGCCCAGTTTCATGATTTCCTTAATAAAGGAGATTGTAAAATGCACCTCAGTAGGTGTAATAAGAATTTTCACGTAAGTAAATTCATACACCAGGAAATAGTCCTTACAGACTCTCCCCTAGAGGTGGTGTCTGAACGGCTTACCTGCCCTGAAACCTGACCTTCGCCTTGTTGAATCTGCCCCGTCGGAGAGGCCTTCCTTGAAGGCTCTTCAGCCGCCTCCCTGCAGCACCCCTGCTGCACCACCATCTGTGTGAAAGTAGCCGGTCTGCTTGTTGATTTCTGAGGGCACTACCCAGTGGTAACTCGAGGGCAGAGGCATGGCTTGTCATGTTCTGGGCCTATCCCGACACCCAGACCAGCACCTGGCACACGCCAGGTGTTCATGAGCTGGTTGCATTTCCCTGATTTCTAGCACTGGCCTCATGTTCTGGCCCATCGCTCTCAGCCAGAAACCTGGGAATTCCAAGCACCTTATTGGAAACATTCCAAGTCAACAGCTGTTTCCCCATCTAAACAGTCACTATAAGGAACCATAGCTCTCCATTCCTATGGCAGATTGAACAGAGGGCCTGAGACCCCAGGGGGCTCTGTCAGGGGCAGCGGCCGGGAGGATGGTGGCAGCACTCCACACCCCGCACAGACGCCAGCAGGTCCTTTGAGCCTTAGTCCTCTCCCAGGCCTGAGCTGAGCTGGTCCCCTCAGGGGTGCTCTCAAGGGGCTAGTCCTCAGCTTCCAGGGTCAGTGAGTTCCCAGGATGTGACAGGTCATAGCTGGCTCCAGGCTTCTCCTGGAATTTCCCTTTTTCTGGGAGGAGGGTGAGGTCAGGTTTCCTTTCTTTTTAAAGGAATAAGGGGACCCAGCCTGCAGAGCTATCGAGATTTCGGGGTGTTCAGAGTTCCAGTCGCCAGGGGAGCTGGGTGTGTCTTCACAGGTGTCCCTGGACCGGCCATCATGGCCAGTAGCATTTCTCCCACAGGCGGCGCCTCTGGCTTCAGCTTGGCTGGAAGGCTCTCCTCTCTTGCAGCCAGAAGAGGTCACTCTGTGTCAAGCCCGTTGTGGAGCCTGATCTGAGCATTGACGCAGCTGTGAACGCTCGCCAAGCGACCTTGTGTCAGCCTGCTCTCCTGGTTTACAGCCACTTGGCTGCTGTTGTATCCTCTGCAGAACCTTGGCCTCCCTTCCAGCAACCAATAGGGCACCTGGCACACCGCGGGGCTCGGTAAACGTTTGCTCCATTGCACTCTATGGCTCCGTGCACTTTTCCCAACAATATTCCCCCAATCCTTTTACCTGGGTCTGCCGCCCCCTCCACTGCAAATGGCACACCCTAAGGCTTGTCACAGCACATGCTGTGATTAGGTCAGGCTTTTGGAGCTGATGTCTGGTGAGTCACCTGAGGGTGATGACCCAGCATGGTCAGTGGGACCCTGACCTCCCAACAGTCCCTCACTCCCGTGACAGAAAGCCAAGCAGGGCCCATGGGCTCCTGGCCCCCATCTCTCACTCTGCTGGGTGCACACTGGCCATCACGGTGATCTCTCCTCCAAAAGTGTCCCTGGTCCCCGTTATAACCTGCTCTCTCAACTGGCTCAAAGCTGAGTGTGTGTGTGTGTGTGTGTGTGTGTGTGTGTGTGTGTGTTTTAGTGGGCCTTGCACCCCTAGCTCCAACCCTGTGCCCACCCATCAGATGACCCCTCCCCCACATATCCAAGCCTCATTAACTTAAGACAGGACTTCCTAGTCTTGTCACAGTGTGGCTCAGAAGGGTGTCACTCTGGGGTAAAGGGGTGAAGCCACTATGGCCGGAGAAGAACAGCCTGGCAGCCCAGCTGCCCCTGAAAGACCCCAGGGCTAAGAACATCAGACTGTCCTCTTGCTCGGACCCTCCCCAATTAGACCCTCTGAGCGAAGGTGGACCCTCCCTCTTGCAGAACAAAAGAAACACAACCGACAGTTTGCTCAAGTGACATATTTCAATATAATCTCTAAAACTCTATGAATTGAACAGATAAAATACCTCTGGGCTATTTTGTTACAAAATATTTGCCATTTGGATTAGTCGCTGGGTGCAGTCACCCTGCCTTCCCTAGAGAGGTTTCTCTCCAACAGGGTAAGGGGTGCCTGCGGGGAGGAGGTGCAGCAGGAAGGTACGCACAGCAGAACACAGGGCAGACAGACAGATGGTTATCAGAGCAGCTATTGGGTACAAGAGACGTTCTGGCAGGCTACAGGGGAACAGGTGGGGTGGGGTGGGGTCAAGGACCCGGGGCTGATAGACACGTGTGCCTTTGGACACAAGCAGGCAGGCTTCCAGGTCAAGCTGCCCGGGCAGGTCTCGCTCCAGGTCTGGAGGTGGGACTTGCCCAAGAGTGGGTGGGAAAGCTCATCTCATCTCCACTCCTGATTCTGGAGCTGGAGCCAAATGGATAAAATTGAGAAAGGGGCTTGGGTCCCCCAAAGTAAGGCCTAGAGAGTTGATAGAGTGGGGCCATGTTGGGGCTGTGTCCGGGGCTCAGTCAGCACTCCAGTGCCCTCAGCCTTGGGAGAGCAGGGAGCCCCAAGAGCATCTCCAGCAGGGCCTCTGCAAGGGCTGGAGGCTTGTCCAAGGTTTCTGGGGCTAGGCTCTGGGGGCGGGGATGAGGGGGGCCCAGCCTTAGCCTTCTGGCAGGACAGGGGCGGGAGGATGCAGACACTGGGAACTGTTGCTTCCCTAACAGGAGGAGGGCCAACTGTCCCTTGCCCAGGCCACTGGGATGAAAAGCCTCACAGCTCAGGCTTGGCTCTTGTGCTGCAGAGCCCAGGCTGGTCTGCTTCCCGGGCCGGGACTCCCAGCGCTGCCAGCATCCCAGGGAAGCCACCGCAGTGCCCGGGGGCAAGCCCCAGTCCCCGAGCATCTGGGTCCTCAGGGAAGGCTCTGTGTGCTCCATCCCCAAGACCTCTGAGATTCTGTCTGCAGAGGCAGGGCTGCAGCAGAGGTGGGAGGAAGGGGCCAGGGCTGCCATGCCCACCGACAGGGAGGAGAGCACTTTTCAACGAGAAGCACTATGTGGGCGGTGACAAGGGGCCTGGCGGTAGGGGCTGCTGCTTCCTCACCAGCCCCTGGCATTCATGGTCCCCATCCCATAAGCAGGTTTAGCCACCTCAACCCCCCACCCCTTCCTTCATAACTCATACTCCCTGCTGCCCACCCATTAACTTCCACTCTATTTCCAGGCCCCCTTATTCAAGATTCATTCACTCCCACCCCAACTCTGCTCCTGCTTCCCGCTGGCACTCTTCACGGGCGATCCCTGCCCTGGCCATGGGCATCAGAAATGTCATAGTTTGTGGCCCCATCTGTCAGCCACTCTGTTCTGAAAGCCTCTTATTGGCATGTCCTTGTTACAGTAGAGACACAAGAGAGGGACCAAGACAATAAGGACAAAAGCAGCTCGGCTGGGGAGCCACACGGAGGAGACAGCAAATTGGTCACAAGTTACGGATCCCAGGATGACAAAGACAGGGCTAGAAATAAACTCGCTGGGTGACGCCATAATGACGTTTGGTGACCACACATACAAATGAAACCAGGTCATCTGGAAGCTCCGAGCGCGGGACAAGGATCAGGGTCTCCTAGCTGGCCCAGGGCACTGCATTTGGGGTGTGAGGTAGGGTCAGGGAGAAGCACATTCACTTTAGACCTGGCCCACGTTCACTTCCACCTCTGGGGACACTTTGATAACGGGCTCCAAGTAGGAGGGGAGCTCGATGAAGGATAGCAATGGAATGACGGCCCAGGACTGGAACCTGGCCCGGCTTGGACAGACACTTCCTGAAAGGGCATGACTGGGGCCCGGGTATCTTCTGAGGTCTCTGAGGGGGCTGCCCAGGCTCTGTGGGGTCACCTCAAGGTTGACTCCCCAATGCTATTTGGCCCCGAGGGGGTCGGTGAGACCCACTTTGCGCTCTTTGCAATTTTGAGGGGGCAGGGACTCTTAGTGCCCCTGCAGGAGGCGGGCCACTTCTTGGGGGACGTGGAGAGGTGGGAGATTTAAAGGCTGAGGGGCAAGTTTGGGATGGCAGCAGGGGGAAGGCACGTGCCTGTGGAACACCTGCTTCTCCCGCCCACTTCTGCATCCAAATCCCTCGCAGAGGCCACGGAAACCATGCAAGAGGGAGCCGGGCCTCTCCCAACCACCTCCTCTGGGCAAACCACTGCCCCTCCTCCCTGTCTCCACTGCCACAGGGGAGGGAACTAACCACTCTGTTCCCAGGCCCCCTTATTCCAGGCCCCAGTGCACATTTCGCGTTGGCCGGGTGTTATTTGGGGCTGGGGAACTAAACCCTAAACAGATTCATTTTAGATGAATGACCTCACGGTTCCACAGCCGGTTGAATTGACCTAGAGAGAGCTGAGACGGGTCCCCTTCCTCCCTCCCTCTCTCAAAGCTTTCCTGGAGTCTGCGCAGCCCTGGGCAGGCAATGCCCAGCTCCAGAGAAAGGGCAGGCCCTGGGAGGAGGGGGAGGACGTGGTCAGGACAACCAACATCCTTGGGGACAGACAGACCTCCTGTGTCTGCCAGTTGTGGGGGGCGGGGCAGGTGCAGCAGAAAAAGACCCCTCCTCACACTCCCACTTCCCTGGTCCCTTCAGGGATCCAGGGCCAACTCTCCTCCACTCAGGGCAGCACCTAGAGCTGAGCGGGGAGCCAGGCCACTTTCTGTCCGGTGCTGGGTGCTGGCTCCCCTTGTACCACCCTCCCAGCCTGAGGCCCAGGGCCCAACAGACTCAGACTCAGGGCCCAGAAGCTGGGTAGGCCCTCAGTTCTTGTCCTCCGAAGTCCATGGTCCACGTGGTGAGTGGTGGCAGCAGGAGGAGGCCTGGCCATGCAGCTGTGCAGGGCCCAGGGGAGGGTGGTGGAGTCTCCAGATTGAAGGGGGGGGTGTGTGTTCAGCTGAGTATGGGAAGCATGTCGGGTGAGGCAAACCCAGGTGCCAGGGATCGAGGTTCTTTTCCAAAAACAATGGTGATGGTGACCAGGAGCACAGCGTGCCAGGGTGTGGGGAGCAGTGAGGGGCGGCCGGGGCTCTCGGGTACAGCCCAGGGACCCTGGTGGCAGCCCCCTGGGGCAGCAGTGTGGGAAACAGTCTACACCAGGCTCCTGGAGCCGCTGGAGTAGCGGCGCCGGTGCAGCAAGGAGCCTGGCGGGCAGTACTGGTGAGGGTGGTTGTAGGG